TTCTATTCGAAGTATTCATTTTCACAATAGACATTTATACACCATTCGATAGAGAATTTCAAGGGCTACATTTTACACTATTTATATTTGATATACGAATTATCTGAATTTTCGGCCTAATGTCCGCTTGGATGCCCACTGTGCCCTAAACCGAACATCGTTTTTTTCGTGTCGGTTTTTCGGTTTGAAACTGAAACGGGTGCATACCTAGTTCTGAGATATAAGGTCCTTTCCAAGATAAACTCATAACTCATTCCAGGAACATCACTTCGACTTCAAACTCACAGCAAATACTCTTCGACTTCAAACCACAGTAGATAGTCTTCGATGACTGTAGACTATCCAGTCAGAGTATGAATGTCAACTATTGTATGGTTCTAGAAATCCATTGAGAATGAGCATCTACTATTGAAACGAACGTAGGGCGGCGAGGGTGAAGAACTGAGGGTCGCTCCTTCTACTATAGAATCTTCATTTTTTTCATTTTTTGTCAAATAAAAAACCTTCCTGGGTTCTTTAAAATACTTTTTTTTAGAATGTATGGAGCACGAAATTTCATAATAATACTAACGAGATAAAAAATGTTTTTCCAGGAGGATACCGCTTAAACTACAAATGATATCACAGAGTATTATATAGCAAATTAATGCCTATTAAAATACCGCTGGATACCCAAAGGCATAGCTGAAACAAGTCGAAGGGTACAACACTTCGTTCCAAGAATACGGACATATAGTAGCAGTGCGATGATTGGAAAATACACATGTTTTTCTCTTTTGATCCTTTTTTGAAATAAATTCGATGTGCTATTGCTGTTTTGTCCTTCTTTCTTGTTAGAGAGTTTCGCTCTAAAGCTGCTCGACAACGGCTTCTGTCAAAATCATGTCCGTAGAATTTCGTGACAATGGATGTCTTTTAATTACTATCCTTTCCAATGAACCGTGGACTCCGATGTTTGTTTATAACATTTTAACGAAAAACGATAGAGACCTGCGGTTTTCATTTCTGAAAGTGGATTGATGGGGCTTTGAGTCTATGAAAAAAGAATGGAAAAAGCGACATCTTCGGGCGACATACCTCTTCTGGACATGTTGCAGAAGATTGCTCACCACTGAAAAAGTTTAGGATTTTCAATTCCAAGACGTATGATAGATAGCCCAGATTGATATCTTCTATTCTGGACCAACTTTTGTGATTGGCACGCCGCACTACACTGATATCCATGAAAGCTGGCTATTCATAGTGAACGATGAAGACTAGACGGAGAATCTCTTTTTTCTCTTTTAAAACGAATCAACCGGAGATATCAAATATATAGGCGTGCAGCCCGAGATGAGCTTTACCAAAGTGTATATACAAAAATATTTTAGCACGTATAGGTCTCTTTGATGAGCAGTGTGATCCATATTGAGCAAGCATCTACTAGACTCATATTAAAATCTGAATCACAGCCCTGTAACGGTAATCTGACTCTAGCTCCCAGAAAACTTGATGAAAACACAGCTTCCTATATACCATTCGACGCGCCTGAACTTACTCTACAAAACTACGTATTTGGTTTCTCGATTATAGTATGGTCATGGAAGCCGACAGGGTCCTTAAGAATTTCCCGTTTACGTTCAATACTGATAGCTAATTTAGCGATGTGTTCTTTGAATTTTTTGATAACATGAAAATAACAAAGTAGTGCAGTTGATGACGGGTATCATCGATAGTTCGTAAAAATCTTTATCGATAGAAAATGTCTTGTTAATATCATGATTACCATATGTTGTTTTAAATTTTAAAAGCAATTACCGTATGTTTTCTTGCGGTTCATTCGCCAAAAAGCCAATACCAGCTGGCTGACCTACGAAAAATAAAGAAACTGAAAAATGTGTTAACGCAAATGGTGTCGGTAGTGATGTTATCGGATGCTACAACTATGGAGCTTCATTTACTCTTTATAGACTTTTAAAACAAAAATGTTGTTGCCAGGCAAGGCACAGGTAATTCGAGTTTCCACACATTTTATTTTTGGCTTATTCATACATCATTCGATAGAGAATTTCACGCTGAACAAGAGTATCGCCTATTTAGTCTTTTCAGCACACCTTTTCGCGCCGAAATATTGAAAATATGGGAAGGGTCTTAAAATACGAAAAATCCGTACTGCAAAACATATAACTCGTTTTTTTTTGAAATTTCTGTCCGTTACTGATAAATTTCACTTTTGCTAAATCAGGAACGAAAAAATTGGAATTCCACCCGTAATTCTCAATTTTCTCCACCAGAACTCACTTTTTATGCAATAAAAGTATCATATTCGGAGTCAGCGTCAAAAACTGAATCGAATGGCGTGCCATTTTTTCTTATCCGGCTATTTGTATTTTTTTCGAATTTTCACGCCGAAAAATTAGAGATTTGCACCAAAAAGTGAAAATCAACAAAAGCTTTCAAAACATATATCACCTGACTCGGTTTTCGGCGATGACTCCGAATATGGTATTTTTGTTGCATAAAAAATAACTTCTGGCGAAGAAAATAGATAATTAGGGGCAGAATTTCGAGTTTTTCGCTCCTGATATAGCAAGGTCAAGTTTGTCAGCAATGGAGAGGAATTTCAAAAAAGAAACGAGTTATGCTTCTGCGGTTTTGGTTAAACCATCAGATCCGGAAGCGACAATATTTTCTTTTTAGCCGCCGTTTCGAACTGAGAATAAAGTGTGTGCCAATTAATTCGAAATTTATTGTTTAGAGGCTTTCTTTTAATTATCTGGTTAACGCCTTGCTCGCATAAAACAGACTAACCGGTTCCACGAATGTCTTGAATTAGAAAAACATATAAACAGAAATTTTCTAACTTTAGCTTGTAAGTTGTATCGAAAAAAACCACTTGTCCGTATTTTTGAAAATTGTCTTTCATTGAACTTGACGCAATAAAAATCATTTTGAGAGCATTCGTTTGTTCTGATACGTTAACTTCAGCTGCCGCCGTTAAATCTGCTAGTTTTATTTCATTCAATAAATCACGAACTGCTGTATTTTGTGATGGACTATTGTTCGATGTCGTCTTGTTTAAAACATTTGCAATATCTTTAACAGTGCTAAATTTCTCTGCAGCTAAAAAATGAATGGAATATGCCGTCAACCTAAACCAAACAAAGAGACGGTCTTTGCTCGTGCTAATGCTGCTGTTATGTTACAACAATGTTAAAAGAGAGAAAAAGTGAATGACAACAACTCATCCAACTAAGTTCGACAGTCAGATTACTAGAGAGAGTACAGATATCTCTGAGTGAGTGCCCTGCGCATTGTTATCGTTACGATATTCCTATTTTCTTGTTAGGGAATGTCCGTTCATATATGAGTCTACCATTCCTTTTCTCTGAGAAAGAGTAAGCATTCTTCTTTGTGAAAGCCTTGTACGAAAGCCCTGCATTGAGACTTTATAGTATAGCCACACTTTATACGAAAGCCGGTTAAAAATGTGGATACGAAAGACGCCTACAACACCGATAGGAAAGCTCTATGACGATCATCTTAGAATGGACCTTGTCACATAACTATTTCGTTACGAAAGCCGCGTACGCAACTTTAACGGGTTACGAAATTTTTTGGGTGCGATATGACGAGATGATAAATAACCAATTAGAAAAATTAGAGCAGTTCCGATCGATGAATACAAAACAGTAACTGGGCTCAAGTTTATGATCCACAAGCGAGTTTCAAGAAAGATGAGTTATTACATTTACATGTTTTTAATAGAGGTTTCAACAATGTGCACTTGAATGAACACAGACGTAGCGTGATACACTCAACACTTCCGTTTCCCCAGTAATAAGTTGTTATTTATCTTCACACATCAAACACAACAACCCAGTATAGAGATGTGCAATCCGACCCGTACCCGACCCGACCCAAAGGTTGGGTGCGGGTACGAAGTGGTCGGGTACGGGTTCCATTTTTCTTAATTTACCTGAAAACCGGAAGTTTTTAGTGGAAAACCCACAAAATTTTAGTAAAAAAAACAGGAGTTTAGCTAAAATATATGCAGGTTTGGAAAAGAATTACTTGAGATCGTAATGATAATTTGACATCTTCAGCCAAAAAACAAAAGTTTTTAGCTGGAAAACAAAAAAAGAAAGTTTTCAGGCATAAGTGGAGTACGGGTCGGGCACGGGTACAAAGTTCTCGGGCTGGGTAGGATACAGGTGGAAAAAAAACTTTCTGGTCGGGTACGGGTGCGAAAATGGTACCCGTGCACATCTTTAACCCAGTAAACACCAATCTACTCATTATAGGTTTTAATTTTTTTAATCTCAGACATACGAGTGTGGAATATCAACCTAATGATCATTTCGATATATCCAATTAAAAATAATTTTGAGCTTTTACAGAAAAAGAAACGGATGTGGTATCAGCGTTATTATTTAAATTGACATCGTATTACATGGCTGGTGATATAATTATACAATTTTTCCCTCTATCTTCTTCAGCCATATATAATCATCGAGCAAACTGTTTAAGGCGTTCATCTTGTCATTTTATCATAGTTATTTTCGAAGCTGTGCTGTAAAGATGTCCTCCTCTTTTGTTGATGCTTTAGCTTCAGCTCAAGCACAACTCTATCGTTATGGCGGTACTTTTCTGATTGTCGCTGGTGATCTTGGTGGCATTTTCAATTTGATTATGTTTCTACAACCGTCATTACGGTGGAATCCGTGTTCCGCTTATTTCTTGGCTTATGCAGGTTCAAATCTGATTTATATCAATTTTTCGATGATATTAACATCGCTAAGAGAAGGTTTCCATGTTGATCCGTCTGTACAATCTCTTGGATTTTGTCGACTAAGAGTGTATATGTATTATGTCTTTACCGTTTTACCGACAACACTTCTTATCATGGTTACAATTGATCGAACGTTTATCAGGTATGAAGCACACTGATCGTGCGGTTTTAGAGTTATGGTCGCTTTCAAGTACTAAGTGTCCTCTAGAATCTGGCAAAAACAGTCGGCAGTTCCTCAAAGGCTTTTTTCTGGAACAGGTCTAAACTTTCTGTTCTTCTGGACACAGTACAAGATACAGGTCTTCTAAATTGGATCCCTTTCTTTTTTGATGAAAACCGAGCGCTTGACTAAGCCTGTGGTCAGTTCCTAAACTAGTCATACGTTAGAATTTCCATTTGCTCTCTGGAAGCATTGTTGATCAGCATACTATACTTTCACTTTTTTGTCAGTTCATCGAATCTTCGTACACGAGCTTGGAGCACGTCGAAATTAGCCTATTCAACGATCGGCGGTATAACCCTGTTTTGGTGTTTGTTCCATCTACATGCTTTTGTGCGTTCAAACATTCAACCAACAGCATCCAGCAATCTCAGCTGTACCGGTGATCCGGGCGCTTATTATGTTTTTACAACATATTATATTCTGGTGTTCAACGGACTCATTCCGTTCGTATTTTTGGTTGTATTCAGCCTGTTAACGTACAGAAATATTCGAGAGATGAATCGTCATATTATGCCAGTGGTCAATGAACAACCGACATCCGTGGAACATCGAATGAAAGTCAAAGATCAACAACTGATTGTCATGCTACTATCTCAAGTCCTTGTTACAATTGTTTGCATTATCCCGTTTACTGGTTATCGAATGTATTCACAAATAACCCAAAATCAACCAAAAGCAGCTGTTCGACAGTCAATTGAAAGTTTCGTTCAAGCTTCATCTGTATTTGTGAATTACATTCCAGCTTGTATTAATTTCTACGTTTATACGTGGACAACACGAACATTCAGAAATCAAGTAAAACGAGTCTTGATAAAACTTTTCCAGTGTTAATCCGCAGATAAAAACTCATTGTATATATATATATATATATGGATATACATTAAATAAAAAACAGATGAAGAAAAACAAAACATAAAAAATCCTTAGAATGTCTCCGAAAAACTAGAAAGGGCTTTCACATTCAATATATCATAGATCACACTAATAATTATTAGAGTTTGTCTTTCTACACATGCGTCTTCTGTAAAAGGCAAAAGTAACTGTTTTCCTCGACATTTTAAACTTGTTTCTTTGTTTGTTTTGTTTCAGATAAATAAACTTTCTCGACGTCGTTCATACACCTGTAGTATTAACGTCGAGAAAGTTTTAGCATAATAAAAATTAAGAAAAGAACATAAAATAAAATTAAGAACCTGAAACAATACAAACAAACAAGCAACAAAGAAACTATAGTTTAAAATAAAACCTTCAAACCTTAGATTTTCGAAGTAAGAGTTTTCAAGAGGCCGGCAGAAGAACTTCTACTGATCTCCATAGCGTGTTGATTGAATTCTACATGCATTTTTGGCTATAGACACACTTTAAAACTAAATTAGAATGAAAAATAAAAATTTGATCCAAAAACAACTTGCGCGTTTTTCGTGTGGTCCTGGTAAAAATGAAATTTCTCAGGAACGAAACACAATAAAGAAAAAAGCAAGTTATACTGTACAGCTGTATAAGTTAAAGCAAAGCGTACTAGTTCATCAATCATTTTTCTCCTGACGAGGGAACTTTTTTAAGTGATACGCTCCGATTCGGTTCGTTCGCACATCATTCGATAGAGGGTAGTAGGGTAGTAAAAAGCCTAAAATATTAGCGCCCCCTTTGGCTTCTTTCAAAAGTTATAGGGATTTTTCTATCATTTCCAGCCAAAATCGCGAGTCAATTAAAAATTTATAACTCTAGCAAATGAACTTCTGTGGACCTGAAATTTACAGCATAAATAGCCCACAATGCCACTAAACAGCACCAAAATTTCAAATTGCTATAACTTGTACTTCCCAAATTACGAGTTTATCTTTTTATCCGGTTAAACACAGGCTTTTCTGAGTTTTGCGAGTTTACTGTCGTTGTCTTTGAATATCGATTAAAAAAAGATATGCGTATGGGATGTAAGCCGTTCATTACGTCAATGAAGATCGTCTCCGCTCTTCCACGTAAAGGAGCGTAAGGTCATTTTTCTTTTTATGAATTTGTACGTCTCAAACTATTTGCAAGCTTGATTTTCTTTTTCATCATTCATTTAGTGCTTAAAGGGCAAGAAGCCCCACTATCAGAGAGAAACTTTATCCAAATCAAATACTATACGTCGACGAGTCGTGAATTTGAAAAAAATAATCTGAAGTGAAAAATGGAAAGTTTTTCGAAATTTCTGCGTTTCTTATATACTTCTACGGCTGCAAAATAAAATGGTGAGTAGAAAAAAACGGTTACCTGTACTTTTACCGTGGTGTTTTCGAAGACCGCGTGGTAAGTTACTGGCAGCTTTATGGCTTTTTCAACTTCTAGAATATTACAATAATTTGGCGGCAATAGTGTTTTTCGAATTCTCAATGCCTCATTATAATGTGTTATCGCCAGTTCAGCATTAACCGATAGAGTCCCCCAGACGAACTAGATATGCTTTAATTAAACTGAATAGTAATATTAATTAGTCTAGGCATAAGTGGTAAAAAAATATAAAGATTATTTTTCT